GAAGGACAAAAAAGCAGCTGAGAACATAGGCGTGTTGCAGGGACAAGCACCCAATGGACAAGCAACCTGCCTGAGACAAGCACCCAATGGACAAGCACCCTGCCTGAGACAAGCATCCAGTGGCCAAGGCTAGACCAATTTGAGTGCCAGAAAGACAAGACAGGCTGGGGAGATGGCTCAGCTGGAAAAGGGTTTGCTGTGTGTAAACCCAAGGGCTTGAGTTGAACCCTAATGTCCACATAAAAAGCAAGATGTGCTGGTTCACACCTGCAGTTCTAGCACCGAGAACGTGGAGAGAGAAGGGTCCCTGGGACTCACTGCCCAGCCAGTCTAGCCTGCCCAGTGAGCTCCAGGCTAGTGAGAGACCCTGTCTCCAAACAAAGGAGACAGCATTCTAAGGATTAACACCAGGGTCTGTCCTCTGGCTTCCACACACACCTTCTCCATCAAAATAAGTGACAGCCAGTTATAAATCAAAGTATAATATAAGCAGACACAAGCCTGCCCTGCTATATGCAACTAAGTAAAATAAGCAGCTGGCAGGGGTGGGAGGGGGCTCCCCCCTTGCAGAAGAACTCAGTGTAGGTGGAAACCTCTGTATAGGAGTTCCCTGTGGGATATGTTCCCCAGAGTAGCACAGGTCCCCCACGGAGGCTGAGCTAAAACTAGTGACTTGCTATTTGTTTCTCAGGAGTGGAAATAGTGACTCTACCACAAAGAAACCTGGTAGGCACTGCCCTCATCCAGTGAGAAGGAGACAACTATGGGTGTCAGCGGACAACCTCTGAGAGAATTGAGCAATGAGGACATTTTACCTTCTGACAGCTTTGACCCTGGTGTGTTCAGACTAGGGGTCATTATTATGATTAATAACTAATACATAGCCTGTGATGGTCAGGATATATATTTATTAGGTAGCCAACTGGCAGGCAAGCAGAACAAGCCAAAACAGCAGGGAAAAGAGAGCTACCATGTGCGTTCCTTATCCCTTTAAACCTTTCCCACGTCACCCTGACATCACCTTGACCACACCCTGACAGACGTGGTCAGTCACATCTGTAGCAGCCCTTAGGAGGCATGGTTACGGTGTCTCCCTACAGGTCAGTCTCCAGGACACCTGGCTGGGACTCCTGGGGACCACCAAGGAGAGACAAGAAAATGTCTCATAGCAAGGGGGTGTGGTAGCTGCATGCAAATGAACCTGTAAGGTTGGCATTACCCTCTACTCTCTATGTAGCCACACATACACACACTAGCCTTTTTTTGACATAAGTTTGGATTTACAGAAAGGTTGTCATGGTAACAGAGAGTTCTAATGACACTTCTTCCAGTTGCCCCATTGTCAACAGCTGTCATGAACAGAGAGGGTCCGCCCTGTGTCACTACTATAACTGTACCTCGGGGCCCACATGGCCACCTCCTCAGAGCTGGGATTGCAAACTTGCCACCCTGAGGATTCTGGGGGATCAAGCCCACTTCTTCAGGGCTGGGGAGACAGCTCAGTAATTAAAGCACTTGACTCACAAATGTGAGGATTGGACTTTGAATTCCCAGAACCCATGTAAATGCTGGGTGGGCCAAGGCAGAGCAGATGGCTACTGAGAGTTGCATATCGGTGAGCTCTGGGTTTGATTGAGAGACCCTGCCTCAATGAAAAGGTGAAAGTGCCATTGAGGATGACTTCTGACATCAGCCAAGGGCTTCCACATGCACAGGCACGCTAATGCACACGCACCCCCACACATATGTAGGGCTACACATGTGCAAACATGCGTGCCCACATGAAAAATGGAGAGAAATCAAAGACCAAACTCATGCTTGCCTGCCAGCACTTTACCCACTGGACTGTCTCCCCAGCCCCTCTCTCTCAGTCCTGAGTCCATGGAATCCCAGAGCGCATCCCCTCCATGCTGAGAAAACACTTGGCCAATCAGAGCACCTATGCCTCTGGCATCAGTGAGAAGTTGCAGACAGGCACACCCAAGACGAATCAATGAAAGAAAACCTGGGGTTGGGGCTGCTGGCGGAGACCTTGCTCCAAGTGAGCCCAGTGCAGAATCTCCTGAGACAGTGAGGCCACCGAAGGTGGAGGAAACAGATTCCTGAGCATCATCTGAGGGCCTGGATCCAGCTGGGCCTGAAGCAGACACTTTCCAGTTACATGGTTTTGTTTGTTTTTACTCAGTTTGATCTGGGTTTCTGACACCTAGCTGGGCCTGAAGCAGACACTTTCCAGTTACATGGTTTTGTTTGTTTTTGCTCACCAGATAACACCAGATAACAATAGAATTTCCTGTGCAGTAAGCTCACTGACCCTTTATACAAGTGCCACTAAGTGCCCACAATGAAAGGCTCTCCAGAGTCTGACA